ATCTTCACAAGCATTATTTGTTTTACAAGCTCATTAGTAGAATTTGCAGCATTTCACAAGCATCTTAACGGCATTTGAAATCAACTGCAAAACAACTTGACGCTATAGTTCAGGCATTGACTATTTGATATGGTGAAAACTCTTTGTAGTCTCCTGATATCTTTCTAAGGATTAGGCTTTATCAAAGCTAGCTGAAGTCATTTCCAAATCCCTATTTTCTGGAAGTATTTCTCGATTTGAACAATTTGGCAAAGTTTGACACATTAAGTAGAAATCTCAATTTATCTGATGAAATATGCCACAATTCCGAGCAGACATTCGAGAAATTGAACTGAAAAGACGTTGAATACTCAAAACAAAGGTAGGTTAACTAGAATCCAACATGAGATGTGGTAATACGCTAGTAATATTACCATAACTGCAACCAAATCTTCTTTTCATCGTCTTCTTTCAATCAACTAAGATATCTTCTTTACTGAGTAGATATCCTTAGTCTTATTACAAGACAGAATTTTCACATCTCTTGGTAACCAAGATAGTCAAATCCACTACAAAAAAGATTTCCCAGGAATTAAAGATATTAGCCTAATCAAATATTATACTAGTCTAAATACAATTAAGCTTCACATAAAAACAGGTGCCAGACAGACAAACAGGGTTGCAAGAATCCAAACAGAAAGCTAAATTGCCACGATCAATTCTTAAATGCATTATTCGACTTTTAATCTTCAAGAACTAGTTGAGAAGAATAAACAAAACCCACAAAGAAGAGATTAAGCAGGTTCAACTAAAACGTCTGGAATGTCAACAGTTAATAAATAGTGGAAGAAAGTGCAGAAAAGCAGCAGTTTAGGTGGCACTCACCCTTTGGTCAAAAAGGAGATTACAATCAAGAGAGGAGGTAGGACTCAGGAGTGTGAGAATACAGCGGAATTATATATTTGTCAGAGTTAAGTTACAGCATTCCAGTTGTAATAGGTAGGGGTTGAAGGCTGAAGGACTGTGGAGGACCAAGAAATTGCAAAGATCGCAAGAAATTCCAACCACAAACTAAGTTCGTGGCGCGTCAATTGCCAACGCTAGACTCCAAAACTAGGATGGGAACAAATACTCTGTCACTTTCTGCAGTTAATACGGTAAGACGGAAAAACTTTCCGTTTAATTAGCACCTCATTCATGATTCATGACTCCTTGGATACAACAAAATTAATTCCAAAGAAAATTCTGCAAAAAAAAAGAACGAGCTGGGACCTGTAAGTGTCGGCTTCTGAAGGAATGGATAAGCCAGTGCATGTAATCAGATAAAATATCAATTGTCCAAGGAATAAAAAAAATTGAAGCGCCAGCGTACACAAAATTCCAGGTTTGAACCATGCTATCACCTTACTAAAATTGTAATTGACGGAATACAAATTCAAATCATAAGGAACTAAGTGAAGATTCATTAATGATCTTTTTATGAGTAATGGAAAAAAAAAATACAATTTCCAAAACTCAAGTAAGCAAAGTAGATTAACATAACAATATATTGGGTTAGTTTAGCAGTTAGCCTATATATAATTAATGTGATATGCAGAATTGAATAACTTCAGTGTCTGGTGTTACTCGTTCTAAAAATTACCCAACCATAGAGTCTGGACATTGGAGAGGTCTAAAAATTGCCCAATTGCACGATACGTTTCCACCCACCCGCGTAAGGACTGTACACTGTAATTGTACGTTTAAAATGTTCAAGTCGAAATTATTAATAATTGTTAGTTGACAAGCCTCAAATTTATAAAAGGAAAAATCATTCCTTTTCATTTTTCCTGATGTAAGAGGGAACACTCAAAGTATCACATAAAATTATTGTACAACTTGTGACAAAAATATTTCACAAGGTTACATCGGAGATCTAGTTGGGATGGTTGGTTCAGGACTTGATGTCTCGCATGACAAATCAGGATTCGAATTTGGCAAAGTTCAATAAGACATTGGAGAAGTTAAGCGACAGTCATGGGGCTTTTGGTTCAGGACCTAATGTCTCGCCTAACAGATCAGGATTCGAATTTGGCAGCCAAATTTGAGATAAGGAGGAATTAGGGACAGGGAAGAGAGGGAGTTTAAAAAAAAAAAAAAAGACACCAGAAGTTTATTCTAGCTGTCCTCGTCAGACTTGCACCTTTTGCTACTGCCACATTATTACTATATGCAGATTTGCTATGTGATGTAACGAGCATAGTTTTACATAGAATTGGTAAATTGTAGAACTATGTAAAGGATATGAAAGCTATTAGTTGAAAAGGCTTTCGACCAACTGTTGGATGCTCTGTTTTGAAACTCGGACCAGACCGGCCGATCAAACCGAGAACCGGCCAAGTGTCCGATCTGAATCATGGTAAAAAACCGAAAATTTAAAGTCCGGTCAAAAACCGGATTTGACCGGGAAAAAATCGATTTTTCCGGTTCAATGGGCATTTTTTTAAAAAAAAACTCAATCTTTTCAATATTATGTTTTGGCCCCCTAAATTGTTAAAATTTATTAATATACCTCAAATATTTCATACTTTATAAATATTGTCCTAAAATTTGATGTTATTTTTCAATTAAATTCATAATTTTAATTCTAAACTTGTTAACATTTATTAAATAACATAAATTGCTACTTGATTGTTCTAATTTCTTTGTATTTTCTTGTTAAATATATTTGAAACATTAAATATATATGAATATACCTTTATTAATATTAACATATTATTTGATATTTTATATATAATATTTTAATTTTTAAATAATTTTTATTTATGACGTCATCCGGTTCGATTCCTATCGACCCCCAGTCGAACCCATTGATCCCTGACTTCGGCGGAGTCGATACCCGGTCCGGTTCTGAAAACATAGGTTGGATGTTGATTTCCCGGGTTAGAAGATATCTCCGCTATTGGAAATGGGTCACATTAACTTTTAAACGCCCCAGTTTACCATTTAAAGTACCTAATCTCCTCGTGCGATTGGGCCTGAGCTGCGCCTTTAGCCTTGCCCGACACAAAGGATCTAGTATTTTACTTGCTTGCCTTGGTGGCCAGACTTTTTCCAAGAAAGTAGTAAAACAATCACAAATCTCATTTATATGGACTTTTTAGACAAAGATTTTGGTCCAAAATTTCGGAGTGTGAACAGTACTATCTGTCCCCAGAAATTGGTTGAATATCACTGTGCATCCGCCAGATAAACAAGGGAAAAAAGAGTTGCCAGATCACTAAAAACAAAGCAGAAAGTCTACGGTACTTTCGTTTATAGCTCAAAGAAAATTTTCCATTCCTGTTAAGATAATTTTAGACGTTACCCTATATTCAAGTTGTTAAAAAGCAGTTGAAATAGACAAACAGGTGAAACTATAGTAGACTAGTGACCTCCAAAGGATCCCAAACTTTTTCTTTTTCGAATAAAGTTTGAATGGATTTAGTTTCGATTACTATTACAAGTTATGCTCGTTGTTGAATAACATTTGGATGAATTTCGACTTCGCTCATACTTACAAGCAGGAGTAGTATGCTCTGCAATTAGAGGTTACTTGTAAGAGTTCTTACCAACGTAATCTTTATTGGATTTTTCACATGTAGCTCTCACATCAATACTGGAATTTGAGCATATGATATGTATTAAGAGAGTGATTGATCAATCAGGTTTTATCAACTGAGCCAAAGTCCAATCTTCAAATTGAACAACTACATACAAGCAACCAATTACGCCTCACATGCTGCTGCGGACGTTGTTGCAGTAAACTGAACTAAGGCACAATCCGTGCCACCGAGTTACAAATGCAGAGAAACCACAGATGCTAGTAGCAGTAAGAGGCGGTAAGTGGTAACAAACACCTGTTAATGGAGAAGACGAGCACTATTGTATGTTGTAACACATGCATGGTAAAGAGAGAATCGTCGGTAAAAGTTAAATTTCAAATCCGGCCAATTGGTAAAAGTTAATTTCAAATCCAGCCAATCTCTCTCATAAAAAGTGAAAAAATTTACTTTCAAAACCTAACTAAGCCGGGTGGGTAGATTAGTAAAGCAATTAAAAATAAAGTTGGATCGCAAAAATTAAACTAAGGATTTCCATACGTACAAATTTTTTCACTGTTTAAATTTAAGAGTTCTTCCCAGACTACTATTTTAACTTGTCTCAAATTAACTGTCTTTCCTACCATATGCAAATTTTACTGTGTGATTTAATGAGCTTAGAATTACTCACTAGTTTGCAAAATACAAGTTTGATTGAATAATTTGTTATTTGAAAAATATTATTTGATTGCATTGTAAACATGATTGTAATTTTTTTATAATTATTTTTTTATCTCACATACATTACCTTATTAAAAAAGTGATGCATTATTATGAATTTCAAATAATTCTCTAGCATTCATCGCTTCCTAAAAACAATTGGGCCTGAAGCGCCTAAGCTGGACTTATCTACTAGGGTCTTACTTTCATCGTGGTCTACGGCTTCTAGGCTATCATCCGAGCATCTTCTGCCCAACTAACCTTTGGGCTTAATATCTCAGCTTCAACTTCTGCGCGCGCACGCGTGTCTTTTTTTTTTTTTTAAGTTATTGAAGATCTGATCGAAAAAGTTCGTTAAAGAATTAAAACTTGTCTGAACGAAAATTTACTTGTAGGGAGGTTTGGTTTTTTACAACTTAGGAGACGAGAAGCACCATATATGAGGGCAAATTTTAATCTCATCCGTGAAATTAACAGTAAAATGAGGAAAAGGTGTGCTTTGGATAAGGAGTAACTACTAGTGATAGGGCACGAAATGGAGGATGGACAAAAGAAAGACGATGAACCCAACAGACGTGACGTCTCGAGGCGATAACAACAGTAGTTTGGTACGGGCAATTGACGTCGAGTTCAGACAAATTGAGTTCGAAAATCTCCTGCTCTCTTGGTGTTCTGCATCTGAGAGCTCAGGCTGCAATTCATGGGGCGAGACACATTGCTTAACAATGTCTACATCAAAATCAATCGATTCGTCATGGTAGAGAAGAAAAATAGTGCACGGACCGTACTCGAGCTTTGGATCAATGTCCCCAGAAGGAAGGAGTATACTCACGTGTTTCAATTAGAACACCCAAAAAACCTAATTCAACTCTACATAAGACAGCCAAAGTTCATTAAGCAATTGACATGATATATTTACTCACATTCCAGACAAAGGTCATAATTTGCAAGAACATTCTACAATCTTAATAAGAGGGGTAGACTGATTTGGCTTTTTTTTAGTGGATTCTCTCTTCATTTTTCACAATATATATCTGAACGCATGACATGTGTTTTCATTTATTAGAAAGGGACATGATCATTTTAAATTTGACTAATCCTAATCCATGTTAATAAATAAAGACACATGTCATGCATCCATATGTGTACTACGAGAAATGGAGTGGAAATCCACCGGAGAGAAGCCAAGTTTGTAAGATGGAAAACAAAAAAAAAAAAAAAAAAAAGGAAGGCTAGGGACTCCTCTCTTCCACCTTCTTCATCTTTCTCGCTTTGTAGGCTACAAAAATTAAGGGCAATTGGGACTTCCGTTCTTATTCTTGAAATTGTTGTAGCGAGATCAAGTTTGTTTGTTGCCGGAAGAGCCCGAGGCGCACACAAGCATTTTGCACAGCATTGAAGACAGAAAAACATGCATGCATGGCTTCTTGTGGGATGCCGCCGAGCAGCTATATGTACATATTGGCCTGCAATCTGCACAATGTTATCAAAGGGAAAAAGAAAAAAACAGATGCTTAATTACAATATATTCCAAACAATGTCATTTTTACAAAATTAAAATATTTGTAGGGAATAAAATTTGAAATTAAACATACCCTGTGGACGAAGTTGGTTGTAACCCTTCCCCGAAAGGGAAAAAAAAAATCCAAAAACTGAACAACAAAGAAAGAAGATGTAAGGGACAATTATTATCCACTGAATATTTACATATTCTTAGAGCAAAAGTTCTAAAAGAAGAAAAACTAATCTGTTTCATTACCTCAGCTACACTGGAAAAGGTAATAAATATATATAAGCAATGAGAAAATCAAGAACCGACTAGCATTGCAGGCACGAGTACCCAATGCCATCTTTCTCTTTTAAGATTTCTTCGTAAAACTATAATAGTGAGGTAGTAGAATAATGCTAATCCAGAAGTGGTAAGAGTTGAATTCACACACACACACACACATATATATAGAAGATTTATCAAGGACATGTACAGAAGGATGATTGCAGAATAGGGAAATAAAGTGCATTCTTTAAGCCGCCAACATTGAAATTTGACACAGGAAATGTAATTTCGCCGTATGATACCAAAAAATAATCATCGTGAAAAGAGGTGGTGAAGGCGTCGTGGACTGGTTGCCGCCTGATATATCGTGTAACGATTTTGTTTTAAAACTGCTGTGTTAATTTGGGAGCATCATTTTTGTCAAGGTTTTAACATGTCGGCAGGTTGTCTTTTGTTCTGCTTGTGAGTGTCATTTCTGTCGAGTTTTTCACATGTCGGACGATTGTCTTTTGTTTTGTTTGTTGATTAGTACAACTTTCATTGGCAAGTCGCAACTAAACATTAATATATCCTTGACTTTGTTTCTTTCTTAGTGGTAAGTAGCATTTTTAATTGACAATCGACAACTAATAGGTAAAAGGAAAATGTCGACATCACAGATAGCGTCCATAACCATATAACTCATCAATTTCTCAATCTAATCCTATCTTTATTATAAATTTAGATATGCCTACCCTGAAAAATGAGCACTCCCCAATTGAATCATGAGTGAATGATGATGAACCCTTGGTTGGTATGTCTAAACACACAGAACTGACAAAAGTAATGGATAGGTGCAGTGCTGTCCACCCAAAAAAAATGCAGCAGATGGAAATAGTAATTTAAAAGAATCACTATTTATTTTAAAAAAGTTTTATGATCTTCTTCTTTCAGTTGGGAGAAACAATCTAATAATAGATTTTAACATATCTAATTTGAGTTGCTTGATTTGATATCTATACGTGATTCTTCTCAACCCCATCAGCTAACCCAAGGTCGAACGTCAAATTCCAGAGCCAAATGGGCGTTGTTCTATCTTGACTCCAAATAGTCTTGCCAGAAGATGAAGATGAACATATGATAACCATTCAATAAAAAAGAATTACAGTTCGCTCATGCTATGAATTGATTTTTAACACGAATGTTTGACAAGAAAAGTTATAATAAACCTGAAGCTGTGAAAACATAATGGGTAAATCATTCTTGGTAAAGAATTTAGGTGCCAAATAACGCAATACATACCAGTAACTCCTGATCCAAGTTATAAAAGAACAGAGAAGATAAATGAGTAGAACTACAGTAGTGGACTAGTGTCCTCCTCCTGGATCCCAAACTTCTAGTTGTAGAGACAACACAAATAACAGCTCTATTTTCCCCAAAGTAGTTGAATGGAAAGGGCCAATGACCCTCCAACGCACCAAAAAAAAAAATAACAGCTCCATGCAGCCAATTACAGCTGACATGCTGCTGCTAACGCCGTGCGGTAAAACTTTATGAATGAAAGGCAGAATCTCGGCCACCAAATGACAAATGCAGAGAGAGCACACCAAGTATCTCTAGCACTAGGAGGAGGTACATAGACTTGTTGATGACAGAGATGAGCAATTGCGGTACTTCTAACACGCAACATGGATAAGAAGAGAAGTAATAGTTTAAAAAAAAAAAAAATCAAATCGGGTTGATCTCCACAGTTCTTCAGCGCACATATGAATAATTCAGTAAGCAGGAAAACCACTGTAACATTGCCAACATCAACAAAATGTCAAGAGAATTCAATTCTCAATTTAATTTGGAATGAACATAAGAGAGACAACACCGTTAAACGACTACAGTAAAAACAACACGAATTATGTTTCTTAGTTTTCTATACCTATGCTCCCTGAACTCGACAAGATTTGGTTGAAGGAAGGTTCTAAAAGGATCTCGATCTCTTACCCATTTTGTTATGGGCGTCTAGCTTCTCTATGCCGGGTATAATTTAGACATGTAACAATGGCATGAACCACTATATGCCAGTATGCCTCCATTTTAAGAGGGAGGAAAATTCTACGATAAGTTGAAGTCGACCAATAGTTTCTTCAAGTCAAATGACTTCAAGTCATTTGACACAAAAGCTGCACCAACAGCCACTACAATACTCAATATAACGAATGCCTTCAAGCATCCATTGCTTCGTGATACCCGACCCAGAAGTATCTTGCAGTGCTTTTGAGCATCTTTCAAGGTCGCTTGATGAGCAGCATCCTTCTCATCACTAGCCAATGCCTTCTCATTCTGCAAATCCACAGCACAAGTGTTTTAGGTCTGGTTGCAGAAAGTTTATTACTTGTAACTAAGCATCGTTAAAATACTAAAAGATAGCTTATCCTAGGAACAGAGACACTAGGCAACTGAGGGCCACAACCAGCCAACATCGAAGCAGCACACATGTTCAGATTTTGTATAGAGAATGACACCTGGTAAACCACCATCAGACCAATGATCCAAAATTACTGCCGTGCGAAACTAAAGGCCACTCAGAACTTTGTTGATTCAGGAAAAGAAAATACACGCACAACCAACATATGTTCTATTTGCCAGAGGAATATCCTTAGTTACATACCACAGCACATGGCATCATCTCCATGATTAGTGATTATTGTAGATCACGCATCTAATTACCCAATTCAATTATTTATCATTTTCAGAATGAACTCAATGAACAACCAAAATGATTTCCCCAATGCAAATTAAAGCATAGCCTTACCTTCACTATCAAACTTCTTAAAGTTGTCTTTAGAGGGTCAACCACAGAATGTTTCTCCGCATGAATCTTCCACTCATCACACAGCTTTTTCAGAATGACAACACTTGCATCAAGATTTTCCATATAGATGTTATCCTGCTTGAATCACAAATGATAATGAGTAAATAGAAAAGGAAAGCATCCAACAAGCAGATAAGAGATGATTTGGCTACAACTCTATTGAACTTACCCATTGCTTGCAAGAGTCAGGGTTCTCAGTTAAACACCAAATAAACAAGTTACTCGCTTCTCCTGCTAATTCAGGAATACCTGAAAAGCTTTCACCTTGTCAAAAGCCATAAACTGACCTTGGTAGGGCAACAACTGCTCTTAGAAGGCACAAACGAAGACTGAAGACTATTGGTATTTAAATTTTACAATACCTTCTCCGGCAGCTTTAATGGCAAAGGGCAGCATTTGCTGAGTGATTTGCTTCATAGCTTTGCTTCCTGAGGAAACAGAAAGAGCTACCTCTTTCAAAAGAGGATACACAGCTTCAAACCTCTCAGTTGCCTGAATGCAAAAGCAAAAACAAACACCTCAGAACCCAACATACATAAATAGAACAAAAAATATTTTGGAATACAATTATTTCTAGCTTCAAGGTGCTGACCTTTACTCTGGCTGAATTTGCTGGAAAGGTGGCTCTCATCAAAAGGTCAAGTGAGGATGGAGGAACCACACGTTCTCCCTTTCTGACTGCACCATTAAGTAGAATGGTTCGAGCCTTTGGTGAGGAAGTAATTCTGCAATCAAAACCAAACAGAACTTATTTAAGCTTTTAGCAAAGAAATGAATGAGTTCAGTTAAAATCAACCATAAATTGACTACAGTAACAACAAAAGGGAAAAAAATTTAAAAAAAAGGCTATTTACCTCTCAACCACCTGCAAAATTAAGTCTCTGGATTGCGGATTAGAATTGGATTTCCCGCTAAGCATAGGGAAAAGAAAATGAACCCACAGGAACAGTCCAACAACCAAATCCCCTTGACAAGCCTGCAGTATTTGAGTAATTATTAAAGGGGATACCTTTTTTCCACTTACAAATCAATAAGATAGGAAAGAAAGGGAAATGTCAATCTTTTATCAAACACTGTAGGATCTGGCTATCAGATTTTATCAAGAGAATACCTGAGTGATAACCCACACGAGAACAGGAAGCTTATCTTGCCCCTGATACTTAGCATTCTCCTTCAGTGATGGCAACAAACTAATCAAGACGTCGGGTTTACGTCGCAATACCATTGCCAAGCCGACAAAAATGGCAACCTGCACCATAATGCCATTATGTAATTGATTTATCCACAACATGCCATTAGAATCAAAGAAGGTAAATCATTTTATACGTGAATAATACTTAAATACTCTCAAAGTAACTGACCACTTCCGTAGGTACTTTCCAATCTAAAATAAATCAACAACTAAAATAACTACTTGTGAGCTTAGCCTAACTTTATATTAGTGCTTATCCAACCATTTGCCAGTTTAATTGCATTCTTGTTGAGTAACTGAGTCGTAATTCTGTCAGTATTGATCCCTCTACTGAGAGTTACATGTGCTGTTGTTACTGGAGAAAACATTCCAATGGGTGAAACAGTATGAAGATTGATCACTCAATCTACAGTACCACATGATCTCTGCAGTACTAATGTCCACTGGAGTACTTTTCCAAGAGCGAGTGATCACCTTAGATGGGCAAAATACAAAATTACCCCATTTTAAATCAAACTATAAATTCTTCAGCTCGCCTGAGGGTGTAGAAACAGTTGAACCAAACTTTGGCAAAATATAGCACTTCCAGTCCAGCTTATGTCAACAATTGTGAGCATGCATTTCTACTAAATACTGGTCTCACATTAGTA